TGTAAGTCGTCATATGTTTTTGTACCTATCAGAACTTCTGAATTATAACATTTCAATAATTTTGCCTGTTTGAAGAAAGTTAAGTATTGTAATGGTGGTAGATACTTGAAAAATGTAGTATTCCTAATATTTGTTATTTTGAATATGAAAAACTCATCTTGGATATATTTTTTAATGAAATGAAGGGATCGTATATTTTTCGCTTAATACCTAGTGCCTGAAGTTGTCCAGAGTTTTTATTTTTTATATTAATTTTTCGAATGGGAAAACTAACTTTAAAAAAATTGCACAGCTGATGGTAAAACACTTTAAATGGATCATCAGCATGTAGCTATGCCAATTGAAAATGTTGGCTCTTTAATCTAAATTTATCAGAATTAGTTTTGCTAAACAGGTGAACATATCTAAATTTAATTTTTTTGAGCTTTGTATCGAGAGACAATGAGCACAAAACAACCGCATGATCAGATAACGAGGTGGAATTATCTGAATACATGATATTACTGTCCAGAAAAGAGGAGCAAAAATAATCAATTAACGTCTCTGTGCGATCGTGCAATGGACTGTATAGATGAATTCGTGGTTTTTGTTCAAAAATGATTCGTGACAGTTTCAAAAGTATTTTTTATTTTTTTCCAATACAAACGTTAATCAAACATGGTCGATATGGATACAGAAAAATCAATTACAAAAATGTTGACAGGATTGCCGAACTAAATATTACGTACCATCGGTGACGTAACAGTCTCACTATTATTAGTGATTCGAGTAGGCTCTTTGACATGCATCTTTAGATTAAACTATAATAAAAGATGTGAAAGATTTATTATATTATCATTTTGAAAAAGAAAATATATGTTGAAGTCTACAGTCAAAATAATTTTAGATGTACTTTGTATCTTAGATAATAAGCATTCCAATTTATTTAAAAATATTGGAATTCTGGGGCTTGGACACAAATTATAAAAAATGTTTTACTTTTTATTATTATTATTGGAAAACTCTTGGTATTTTACTTCTTCAAACTGCAACCTGTGAAAGAGGGAGTCATGTAATAATATTGCTGTTCCCCCATGTTCAAACATCTCTCTGCAAAAGATACTAACCAAATTATACCCTGGCATGCACATATAGATGTTCACGTTTTCCTGGCCAGTGTTGTATTAGCAAAAGAACTAGTGGAAATTAATCTGTTTCATTAACACAAATAACTAATCTATCTTGTTACGGACATTTAATAGTAAAAATGTTAGGGAATTCTCTGAATTGGCGAATTGGCTGTTTCTAAAAAAGAATTGTGACTGTTATTTAATTCAACAACTCTGTTAGCCCTACCTTTGTTGTTATTACTATCTAACTGAGCATCTTCATCGCACCTATTATCAGAGTCAATTTTTTCAGCTTCATTAGGTGACATGTTACTTAAATTTTTCATGGATAAAATAGGTACGTTGACTGTTTGTCTATTAGTTTGATCCAGCTTATGGTCATGTTGGTCATATTGGTTGTCTTTAGATTTTATTTAAGTTGACGTTGCTGCTTACAATAGGTTTATGAATGCAGGACATATACTGATTGCATATTATATGTTTAACTAGCAATCGTTAGTCCATTTAAACTAACGGTAAAAGATCGAGAAACGCCGCACTTGACGAGACCACTTATCCCCTACGTATTTTGGGGCGCTAATTACGAAAATGAGGGTTAAAACTGGCAGCAATGGTTGGAAAACCCCTAAAATTGCAAAAAACACCCCTTAATAGAGATGTTTTTCGACTGTACTTGTTATTTTGCAAACTAGCTCATCTCGTACGTTTTTTGGGGCGCTGATTTCGAAAATCGGGGTGTTGAGACTGGAAAATTTGTGTGACACCCCCCACATGCCAGAAACACTCCTCCCAAGGGGTGAATTTTCGAAAAAATGACCAGTCACGGTGTTTTGCGAACTAAGTCATCTTATATGTTTTTTTGGGTCGTTGTCCAGCACACTCCAAATTAATTTTAATTTTTGAACAAAAAGTATCAAGATCTTTCTGATACTCGTATTTTTTTAGTCTTTAGTCATATTTCATATCTATTAATAAAAATATATTTAATTTTTCACCAAAATCCACCGGTTGGGAGGGGTGTTTCTGGCATGTGGGGGGTGTCACACAAATTTTCCAGTCTCGACACCCCGATTTTCGAAATCAGCGACCCAAAAAACATATGAGATGAGTTAGTTTGCAAAATAACAAGTACAGTCAAAAACACCCCTAATTAGGGGTGTTTTTTGCAATTTTAGGGGTGGTTCAACCATTGCTGCAATTTTTAACTCCCATTTTCGTAATCGGAGCCCCAAAAAACATATAATATGACTTAGTTCGCGAAACACCGTGACTAGTCATTTTTTCCGAAAATTCACCCCTTAGGAGGGGTGTTTCTGTGGCATGTGGGGGGTGTCACACAAATTTTCCAGTCTCAACAGCCCGATTTTCGAAATCAGCGACCCAAAAAACATATGAGATGAGTTAGTTTGCAAAACAACAAGTACAGTCGAAAAACATCCCTAATTAGGGGTGTTTTTTTTGCAATTTTAGGGGTTGTTCAACCATTGCTGCAAGTTTTAACCCCCATTTTCGTAATCAGAGCCCCAAAAAATATATAATATGACTTAGTTCGCGAAACACCGTGACTGGTAATTTTTTTCCGAAAATTCACCCCTTGGGAGGGGTGTTTCTGGCACGTGGGGGGTGTCACACAAATTTTCCAGTCTCGACATCCCGATTTTCGAAATCAGCGCCCCAAAAAACATGAGATGAATTAGTTTGCAAAACAACAAGTACAATCGAAAAACATCCCTATTAGGGGTGTTTTTTGAAATTTTAGGGGTGGTTCAACCATTGCTGCAAGTTTTAACTCCCATTTTCGTAATCGGAGCCCCAAAAAACATATATTATATGACTTAATTCGCGAAACACCGTGACTGGTCATTTTTTCCGAAAATTCACCTTTTAGGAGGGGTGTTTCTGGCATGTGGGGGGTGTCACACAAATTTTCCAGTCTCGACATCCCGATTTTCGAAATCAGCGCCCCAAAAAACATATGAGATGAGTTAGTTTGCAAAACAACAAGTACAATCGAAAAACATCCCTATTAGGGGTGTTTTTTGCAATTTTAGGGGTAGTTCAACCATTGCTGCAAGTTTTAACCCTGATTTTTATAATCAGCGCTCCAAAAAACATATAACATGGCTTAGTTTTGCAAAACAACAAGTACAGTCGAAAAACACCCTTAATTAGGGGTGTTTTTTGCAATTTTAGGGGTGTTCCAAATAATGCTGCCAGTTTTAACCCTCATTTTCGTAATGAGCGTCCCAAAATACGTAGGGGACAAGTGGCCTCGTCAAGTGCGGCGTTTCTCGACCTTTTACCGTTATTTTAAATGGACTACGTTTGCTATGAAAAGGAATGCCACCAAAAGGATTTCTGTCGCTCTTTTTTACAAACTTATTAGAACGGACAAACGAGCATTTTTTTATTGAGTTTATGTATTGTTTTGTGAAAATTTATATTCAATTCGTTGAGCACGTTTCTTTTATGAGCATAGGCTGGACCTACAATTAATTATTAGAGTACTATATACTACTATACTTAATAATTCATTAACAAGTGGTGTTTAAACAGCAAATAATTAGTAAGTGGTGTTTAAATAGCAAATAATTAGTAAATTTATGCTGAACTCTCTATGTGGCAGAAATAATTAGGATGCCATATACGACGGAGCAATATTCAAGAATACTTCTAACAAGGCTGTTAAATATTGAGATTAATTTAGTATCATACATATGTCGGGTATTTTTTATTAAAGCCTAGTATCCGGAAAGCTTTACAAATAATGGAATCAGTGTGTTCTCGAACGGAAAATTCCATATCAAACATCACCCCTAGATCATTCACTGATGTGACGTTTTACAGCACAGTATCATCGATTTTGTATCGATTTAGAGAAGAGGTTAAAGCTCTAGTGAATTGGATGGTTTTGTATTTACTGGTATTTAATGAGAAATGGTTCAGGAAATTACGTCAATGGAAAAAGAGCAGGACTAGTGTGTGAGACTTGCAAAACGCCTGATAAAACTTGTCGAGGTACGGTTTTTTCCAAATAAGATAGTTATCACCAATGAGTTTTTTAAAAGCAGTTAATGAGAAACTCTATCAAAGTCCTTTGAAAGATCAGTGTAAATTGCATCCATCTGGTTGCCAGCTTCAACAGATGTTATCAGATAGTCCTGGAAACAACAAAGGTTAGTAGCAGTAGAACGCCTCTAATAAAATCCATGCTGAAAAGAGGAGATATAAGATTCGATAGGAAGCAATTATTTCATCAGTAAGAATTAATTCAAATAATTTAGAAATTGTGGATATAATAGATATATCCCTATAATTAGATTTATCACCAGACTTCAGAATTGGAATTAGATTAGAAAATTTCCAAATATCTGAGAATATTCACTAAACAAAATATTTCTGGAATATTATACTGAGGGGAATAGACAACACTTCCCAGCATTTACTCAACAAAATCGGAGGGTTGCCGTCAAGACTGGCTTTTTTATTGAGATCAAGACTGTTAATTTTATAAATAACTTCCTCGATAGTAAAGGTATATTTGCTTAAAGATGAGGCAAAAGTTACTGGAGTGGGAAGTACATAATTTGTGATGTCAACAGTATTGTAGCAAGAATGGAAGAGATGTGCAAAAGCATTAACTATTTCTTTAGGATTAATAAGCTTAATGTTGTATACCGTTATATTTGGGAGACTGTTATGACCTTTTAGATTCCTTATAAATGTCCAGAAATACTGAATATGAGGAAAAAGGTGTTCTGTGTTAGTAATGAATATACCCAAAGATAAAAAAATAGTCTAGTACAGATAAAAATTTATTTTCTAATTTACTTTTCCTTCACATACCTATTATAGCAAAAAAATATTAAATTTGACACTTGACTTTTTTAGGTACTTCCAAGGGACTAATCTTTGAGACTGAAATAGCATTAGAGGGAGATAAATTTTTTACTTCAAGTTTTTCATCTAGTTTGGAACAGTATTGGAGGCAGGTGTGTTAATAATTTTGTTTTATAAGGTATACAATCTTAAATTCAATTATTGTTTTATTTCCAAGCTGCCAAATTATTTACCATTGTATGGAAATAAGGAAGAAGATGGATTGGTAATAAAATAAATTTGTATCCATAGCATGTAAAATGTTCTGTTTCTTGATTTTTTTTTTAATATTTATTATTTTTTAATAATTGTGACTATTGCATTTCACATTTTGTGCGATTGTTTAGGATTTTTCAGATGTTTCACTATTACTGTCATCATAGGAGGATATTTTCCATAGAAATTATTTTGCTGAATGTGCAATATTTTTTTTTTAATTTTCTCAGTATGTTCAGGATTGTGAAAAATATCACAAAGGCGAACTACAGGGGAGGGAAGACAGGCTGGGACCCAAGTCTGATTGGGGAACAGAGAGATGTCTGAAAGGGGAAAAAAGTGAACAATCCACAAATAAATAACAGTTATAAAAAACTATGAAGAAGTATGATTAGTATTGCAAATATGAGATTGCATGAAATTTTTCTTTGAAATCTTTGAATATTAATGTTGGAAAAGTTGAATCTCACAGTTTATTCAGAATAATTTTGTACAAGTGAATCAACTTGTAATTCAGATTAAACCACAGACATTACAACATATAGACAACATGTTTCATTCATAAATCCCATACAATTGCGGACTGTTATTGTTTTAAAATTGGTAGTGAGTGGAAGAGAGAAAGACAGATCTCTTATGACCGGCTGGCAACGTTGTAAACAGTGTCCATAATATGCTCGCCAGTGGCGTAGAGTTTTAAATTTACCAGTATTGTTAGAGTAGTATGTTAAAAAAATACGTAAATATGTAGGTATATTTTTTTAGTAATATAATTATGATGATTTTTTCATGTAGGTAGATTAGATTATGAGTTGGACGTTATTTGTCTTTGTCCACCACGACCTTTTCAGATCTATTGTGAGACTCCTGTTTGTTTTAGAGTATGTCGTCTAGCCTAGTCTTTTTTATTAGTCTTAGTAGCTTTGACAGTGGCTCCCGCATGTAGTTGCATGCAATTGGCTTTTATTCGCCCAATGTTAGAAACCTCGTTCTAGCCAGGCATTCACATTGGCACAGGACGTGGAATATTGTTTCCTCTTCTTCTTCACAGAACCTGCACAAAGTTGCTTCTTCTGCTGGATTTATGACACTCATGTGCCTTTTGAGGCGACAGTGTCCAGTAAGAAGGCCTACTGTTATCCTAAAGATTTGACGCTTTTGATCCAGTAGGTCTTTCGTGAACTTGGCCGATGGTTCCTTGATGAACTGTTTGGCCTGTCTCAGTCTTGGATAGTTGTTCCACCATTCCTGAGACTCTGTTTGCATCCCTTGTTTAATGGATGCCTTGCACAATGCCTTAGCAACTCCACAGAAGGGTCCGGGGCCTGTCATGGCCTTATCTGAGCCTCCTCGGCCTAATTCGTCGGCCTTTTCGTTGCTTTGATATCCCTCATGGCCTGGAACCCAGGCTAAGGTCACCTTATTTTAACTACTTAGCTCCGTCAGGTCTTCTAGACAGTCTTTCACCAGTCGTGATTTGATTTCTGGTGAGAGAATTGCCTTCAGAGTATATGACAATAGTTTTGCATGATACTTGCTAATTTTTCATGTAGGTAAATTCAAGTACAAGTAAATTCAAATACAAGCGAATTCAAGTTACCTTTCGATTTTAAATATTTATTGGTTTATAGTTTATTGGCATTTACTATATATTTGCCTGGTATGATGTTAACCAAAATTATTTAAAATTTTAAATTAACATTAAGTAGGTAGGGGTATCTAAATAAAACACTGTCCTAAAAATATATAATTTTTTAATTAATAATTACAAAAGAACATGGTATCGCAAAAAATATCGTAAAAAAAACTGTAAAAATTTTTAAAATAATGTTTTAAATATATAAAATACTTTATTTTAATAAATAAAATTTCATTTAATTTTTTTATGCTTAGTTATTAATTTTATAACTTACTGCAACGTTTCTTTTTGCAGCAGGTGGTGTTCCAAAAACAGTTGAATCAGAACTAAAAACCCATACATTAGATATACATACATATAGGTAATAAATAATGTTTAGAGGTAAACAAAAAATTAATATTTTGTATTTTTACCTGTTGGATAAGTCATCCAAAAATAGAAAGCCCTCACACCGTCTGGAGTTTGCATCTTTTCTAATATATCTAGTACCATTTGCACGTACCAAAACATTTTCAGGAAAACAGTGTTCTAAACACAACTTTTGGTTTTTACGAAGGGGCTGATTTTCAAGGATTCCTATTAGAGAAAACCAAAGTTTTCTTTTCTCAGGATCTTGCGGAAACCTAAATAGAGTAATAAAAAATATGTATAGATGCTCAATAGGTAAATCATTTTTAAGGTATTCTACATTTTACGTTAAATTTTCTTTGCCACTATTCAATATTTATTTATTGGTATGATAAAAATTTACTAATTTATAAAAGCAATATCACTTTAAAAACGGTTTTAAGACTGTTTTAGACTACATAAGTTTTTGATACAATTTCTTGTACAATTTAAATTGTATATTATCAACCTGCAGTAAATTGTCTGAAAAATTAGATTGTATAATCATTTTTCAAACAATTTACTATGTGATCCTATATAATTTAAATTCTATAAGAAATTGTATCAAATCTTGTACAAGCCCTACTCCACTGGTTCAAATGAAAACAACATAACTTAACCTAAAAATACTTACCGATGAAACCATACATTTCGACTTAAATGATCTACCTTTTTGAACACTCCACATGCATGTACCATAATTCTTTATATTTCTCACAAAAGTTCACAAAAATAGTATTTTATAAATTAATAAATCAATAAGTCACACATAAACTGTCAGATACTGTCAGAAATACAAAATAGCTGTTAGACCTGATTGGCAACGTTGCGGCTGGTTACGGTACTACATTTCATTCTGAAAATTGTAAATTCGTAAAATAAGATATTCAGCGTTGCCGTATTTACGGAGTTCTTCGAAACCCTAATATTTTGTTTAGATTAATATTGATTTTTAAAAAAAAAATTTAGCTTACATTAAAACTTCAAAGTTTAATTTGATTAAAAACATATTTTTATTTATATAATATACAATTATAGTTACAGGACACATCAAATTTTATTTTTCGAAAGTAATTTCTCCAAATAATTTTGACAGACTGATAAAATCGGCAAAGACGCAATAAACGAGAGAATAATGATTTGCCACATAAAAATGTAAACAATTTGGTCTCTTAGTTGTAATGTCTTTGGATTAAACACAATTCTGTTATGCTTTAATTGTTATGAGAAAATCAGTATTATACTGAAGCAATGCATACCCAGTGTTCTTGAAAAGCATAATGAAAGGGTTGGTATTTTAAGAAATTATTTATTAGGATTCTTTTTAACACGCTTTTATTAACTTGGTATGTATGTATGTAACGGAATCTTTGAACGTGATTTTCACCTCCTTCAAAACGTCGGATTGATTTGAAACTTTGCACACTTATCAAGGACCGATGACAATGCAATAATTTAAATAGTTTGTCCCATTATCCTGATCAGGATTTTAAGGATTCGCGATTTTCCAAATCCGATACCGTATGTTATCCCTGTGGTATCTTTTTATTAAATGTTAGGGGTTGAGGGGAAGGAGGTGCGTTTTTTACTATCTCTTTTGGTCCTCTATTCATCCATGTACTCCTTATTATGATTAGTCCCAATAAAAACCCAGCTCAAGTTCGCTTTAGATGCAGTTAATTAATTATCCCTGTAGTAACTTTGTTAGAAATATTATTAAACGATTCCGCCGGTATCACAGAGATTGTATAAAATGGGGATATAGGCGAAATCGTCTAATATTAAGGTGTATTTCAGCGAAATCACCGAAATCGTAAGAATTTTAGGTGATTCCCGACATACGGATGGATGCGCTTTGATCTTAGTGGTTTACAACTCGGTTTTCCATAAACAAACAAATTCAAAAAAGTTAAGCATGTATTTTTCAATTCAATTGGATGAATATATACGGACGGAGGTATATTTGTATAAATGAAATTGAATAAAAAAGTTTGTAGAATAGTGTTAGTTATAACTAAAAAGTAGAAAATAAATAATAGCTTAAACAAGTTATAAAAGTAATTTTAAAAAACCGACTTCAAAATCGTGCAGATGCCACTACCACATCTTGACCAAATGTATAGGAGACCACCCCTGAGGTACCCCCTTACTAACGAAAAAAGAATCATAGAAATCGGATGAGGTGGTAAAGAATTCCTGTTAAACATACATAAAAAATTAAGAGTTTGAGGATTCTCTAATGGATCCAATTATTTGATTTTGACCATATTTATATGGGTCCACCCTTGAAGTAGCTCCTTTTTAACAAAAAAAGAATCATTGAAATCGGACACCGTCTTAAAAAATTATCGCTGAACATACATAAAAAAAATACGACGAATTGAGAACCTCCTCCTTTTTTGAAGTCGTTTAAAAAACTAAAAAACACGCTTTAATAGAAAAGCAAACCAAAAAGTAGAAAATACTTTTCAAAAAATTGAAATTAAGAATAGTGCGATAACAAAAAAAATATTTTATTGTAGAAAAGCGTGGAGTGCTTGATGTCAATTGTTATAATATTTTAATAGCAGATATTGGTAAAAGTAGAGTAGGATTGTTATCGCGAATAAAACTATTATAGAAATATCTTAAAAAGCACCCCACACTTTTCTACAATAAAATATTTTTTTTTTTTTAATCACACTATTATTAATTTAAATTATTTTTGCTTTTCTATTAAAGCGTGTTTTTTAAACTATTATTAATTTCATTATAGAAAATTTCATGCATACATAAAATTCCAGTGATCACTTGGGCCTTTGCTATGATCTGAATACAGGGTGTTTGTAAATAAGTGTCAAACGTTTTAGGGGGTGGTTCACGAAGTTATTTTGTCAAAAAAATTTCTATAAATGTAGGCCGAAATATGCTTTGTTTCCGAGATACAGAGTGTTTAAATTTTATTTATTTTTATTATTTCAAATAGTTTTAAAAATTTTGGCTCCAAATTTGAAAACGCTTTGGAGGGATAAATTTGCACTTTTTTGGGGTGATCCAAATGTTTCTACTTGGACCAGTGGCAAGAATAACTCTTTTTAACAAAAAAAGGAAAAAAAAAAAAATGGTGCGCCAATGACTTTTCAGTTTATCAACAAAATAACTTTATAAGATTTGGATACAGAGTTCATAAACGCATTTCTTGAACAGGTTATTGTTGAACTTAGAACACTCGATGGTCGACAATATGCAAGATTTTTAGGCATGACGCCGTTAGATTTGCATTTTAACAGTAGCTTTTTTCATAAAAACTCAATCTTCATTTTATATTATAACGCAAAAAAGGTGTAATAGAACTGGCTTCATATGTAATAAAAATGCCTGATAAAATCTCATTCATAGCATGCCAGTTGTAGCGGCACACCAATATACAGGCTTAACCAGCCTTTCACGCCACAGATAAATGGAGGCTAATCTGACCCATCAATTGCAGTGTTATAATAAAAATGTTTGTATACCTATGATCCATGAAGGTCCTAGTGATGAAGATACTTGAATTCAAAGGCTACCTCTTACTGAACACATTTAATAACGAATAGAATCAGTTTATCACTTAAACATTTAAAACAAATATTTATACAATTTTTATATTATATACATTACATTTTCTCGAAAATTTATTAGCCTAAGCCGCCTTCTTACATGATTTATTTCTTTTTTATCCTAATGGCGGGACTTAGCGTTCCTTTTAAAACAAGAGACACATAACAGGGTGGGTGGCTCAGTGGTAGAGTCTCTGCCTGCGGATCCAAGGGTCCCAGGTTCGAATCCCTCCGTTGGCCGGGATTTTTTCATTTAATTTAATTATTTAAAATTAATTCTGATGCCTTGGTAGGCACTCGACCATTCACTGTTGGGTACTAATTAACAGTGCTGTTCCTAAAGTGGCGCTGGGAAACAGTAACAAAGCCTACACAGAACACGAGGCTAATAACCGTAGAAGTTGATGCCGATGACACCAAAAAAAAAAAAACTAATGAGGAGGGCCTGACGCGCATGATGTATTTATCTGTTAGGGAACTTCCTTACCGGTAGAGAGAGTACAAGGTACAGGGACGGTTGAATGGGTTAATATTGTTCGAGAATCAGTATTATTGAATGTATTTCCAACACCAGTAATAAGCAAAATTTATTGATAAAAATGAAAATAATGTTTATCAGTATGTAGGAGTATAGTACAAATAGAGATATCATTTAAAAAACAATGTGACAGATTAGATACAATCCTAAACATCCACAAATATGTACTACCTCTTACCTTTAGTGCAGTTTAATTTCTTAAAGGAACATTTGCTTTGAAAAGTTTTTTATTATAATAAATTGATTCATCTACCATTTAAACAGCGGATTTTATAATAGATGGCTTTGTTTGATTTTAAAGTAGATAGAACAAAATGGATATTTTGATAATAGGTGTTTTGTAGGATTTATAAAGACTATTCTCCATCGCCACTACTGAATGTATTTTTTAAACCACTTATTCCGAAATAATTCTGAAACACTTGCCTCATATATATTTTACAACTATTTCATTCTAACTCTTGTAACATAATGTTTATTTGGTAGCTACTGGCCAATGGCCGTGAACATCACGCCCCCATCGTTGATAGCCATGAATTTTATGATTGAATGTTCTACTCGACGTATTATTATTTAGTTTGAATTTGCCCGAATAAAGATAAGAGGCGTTTGTTGAGTCAAACTTAATTTTAAAAATGGGTGAATATAATGATTCTGATATGGAATTTGATAATACTCCACCTAAACTGACAAATTATGCAAATTATTTAAGTAAAAACTTGCCTAACATAAGTTATATTACTATATATTACTATATTCAACTCCTACTTTGTTACAGAATATACTATTATTTAAATTATAGTGGGCGACTGTTTCTCATTAATGTTGAAGTAGTTTTTTTGTTTGGTTTAAAAACTCACTTTCATAAATGTTTTTAGTAGTTTTCAAATATTTATATTTTGTATTGGTGATGACTCTTGAGACAATAATTTAATTATGGAATTTGAATATATTATCTTATTTATAATTTAACAAGATTTGGTTTAAATTTTTTTAAGGTTTTCGACATTGGCAAAGGCACCAACACTCCCATTACCGGTATCGAGTTCTTTAAACTTCCCGGTTCAGACAAATATGTGATAATTGTTGTTACGCCAAGCAGATTTTATTATTTTTCTGGTAGAGTCAACGCAGAAGAGAAACCCATACTGCAACAAGTTTTCAATAAATATTTGAACATTCCAGAACAAGAAACTTATATGGAATGCATGAGTGACACTAAATTTTCCAAACTTCAATTGTGGTCTGAAAATTTAACCACTCCTAATTCTTTCGCCTGGGTCACTGGCAAAGGAATTTCTTTTGGTCAGGTAATTATATTAAAAATACACTTAATTCTTAAAGGTATTACTATGTTTGCTTGAAATCTACACTTTGTCTTAGGCAACTTTTTTGGGGTAGTAAATTTCGAAATGTATATTTATTTATTTATTGTACATATGGGAAATCCCCATTACAATAAAAAGTATACAAAAATCATTTAAAAGATAATATATTTCTAACTCAAACTCCAACACTTAAGTCAGTCTAATGACAAATAATAATGTAACTATTGTTTAATTTAAAATAGTTTATTTATTAAAAACGTACTTATTAATACTTAAGCACTATTATAACTCACAATTCTAATTTATTTATTACAAATTATCTTTTCTATACAGCACTTATGTTGAAACTTTTTGTCTATCGACATACCGCGCTATTTATATAAAGCCAGCTCTGCACCAGTAGTTCCTAGACGATCTAGAACGTCCTCTATGATTCAGCCGCCGCGAATCGATTTCTTTGGTAGCTTCTTGAATTAGTGCGTTTGTCTCGATATGGCAAGCGCTAGACTTCATATCGCAGGTAAGGTAGTAAACAAGTAGAGCCGCGACATTGCCCCTTCCTTAAGTAATAGTTCATCCTAGAACTAACACTGAATGATTGTAACTGGACCCACTTTTACAATTCTCATTCGTATGGAAATATTTTTTTTAATGAGGTACAGACCTGTCTTTTTGGGTTATGGAGCCTTACTGTCGCCTTCCTTAAAATATCCTTCTGTGACTTGGGTATCGTACTGTTTCTTCTTTCTGGCGATTTGCAGATGCGAGTGAACCAACTCGTGCATATCGTTCATTTTTCTTTGTAGCTGGATAACATAATCTTCATCGGCTATGTCTTTTCCTGATCGGTATCCGAACTCGAGGTCACACGGTAGTCTCATCTCACGCCCGAACAGCACCTTTGCTGGTGTTTGGCCTGTAGATTCATTGTCAGCGGATCTATATGCCATTGCAAAGAGCGAAAGATACTGATCCCAATCTCGCTGAAGGTTGGAAACCACTTATTCACTCTTCTTGTTCATTCGCTCTACCATTCGATCCGACTGTGGGTGCAATGCAGTAGTTCTGGTTTTCTTCATGCCTAATCTGTCACAGATTCCTCAGAAAAGCTGGCTTTTAAAATGTCTGCCTTGGTCACTGTGGATCTCCAAGGGCACTCCAAATCTACTTATGAATTATTTTATTAACACGTCTGCAACAGTTGCGGCCTGTTGATTTGGAATGTCGTAGACTTCCACTTTGTGGAATAATCCATAACCACCATCATGTATTTATTACCACCCTCGGTCATGGGGAATGGTCCAGCAATATCTATTGGAATTCTCTCAACTGGGCTACTGACGTTGTACTGCTTCATGGGGGCCTTCCTTTTTCGTTGGGGTCCATTACTCATAGCACAAGTGGTACATTTCTTACATCTTACATCATCGGAACTGTTCATCCAATAAAACCTTTCACGAACTCTCTGAACGTTTTTCTTAACACCAAGATGTCCTCCTGATGAACTGTCGTGTAACTGACGAAGTACTTCGGCTACTCTATCCTTTGGAATGACCAACTGTCTTCTATTTTCGGAACCGTCATCATTCTCTAGTACTCGCTTTAATAAGCCTTCTTTAGAATAAAAGAGTCCCATTGAGCTAAATACGACTTAAATATTGGAGAGAGATTCGATATTTCTTGCCAAGTAGGTCGACCATTTTCGTTTTTCCATTGTCGCATCTTCTTTAAAACGGGATCGTTCTCTTGTTCTTCCCTAAGTTTGGCAGGGGCCCACTCATCGTTGACTACAGTTGTTTTTAGTAGTCGACTTTCTTTGGATTCTGCTCTGTTGCAGTGAGAGCACTCTGTCGTACTCTTGAAGTCGTTCAATCCATCTGGCGATTTGGCCCTCCTAGTTTTTGGAACAAGGTCTATATTCATGATTAACAGATGACCAATAAAAACTAAAATATGCACAAACAAGATGAGTGACATTTATACCGAAACAATCATAACATTGAGTTCAATTGCTAGCAGTTTGTCTACAAAAAACAGATAAAATAGACATATAACTTATTTTTGTTAAATGTATTTAGTCCGATTTCTAATAGCGTTTCTGCCAAAACAAGATAAAGGACAGAACACTTATTTTTGTTGAATGTATTTGTTCAAATACTTCAACATTTTGGTCAAGCCATTTTTTTGCCTAGAGTTGTCTCTGGCCTTTCTCGATTGTTTCGAAATCGACAAGGTGATTACGTCACCCTTTCTTTCCGCGATACAGCTAATCTTTAAAAACTAATAGAGAGATGCCTAAAAGGGTGAAAAAAATATCTCTGAAAATACTTACAAAAAGTGCAAGAAGAAAGATTTGCTTAAACTTTGCAAATCTTGTGTGCTATACCTGATGAATTTCACCATTAATATCACAATGTGCCTGTATCCAATAATGTTAAAGACACGGTACCTGAATCTTCCATTGAAGATAGTGACACATACATTGAATATTATGACCTGTATGTAGATAGCTAAAATAAGCTAAGTGACATTATGTTTTTCTTTTTGTTACTAATCGATGGATTCTTAGTTTATACTTTGTGAAGACTAATTAATTATGTTTTTAATACCTTTTTTTCCCTAAAGTTATTGTTTATTAAACAGTTTGAAGCTTTTACTGATTTTTTATTCATTTTAACCTGTTGAACAGCGTTTCTCCAAAAAATGTTAGTTATCTTGTTTTTGCAGTAACCCGACGCGATATATTTATGTTTTGTTTTTTATTTATTAGAGGTCCCCACTAATTTTAATTGGATGGCCTAAAAAGGGTCATTATCCAAAAATATTGCGGCCCCTGTAACATAGCAAATATACGAATGTGACCTGAAAGAAAAAAGGGTTGCGTATGGCTATTCTAAACTAACGTGCATAACCGTAATGGTGCAACATATGGTAACACATGGATAAAGCTGTCCTGCTAAGACAAGAGGTCGTATCTACAAAAATTCCGACTTCGAGATTTTTACACATTTGGATGCTTACATTTTATTTCATTATGATACAAAGTTAGATAGACCTATTTTCATTATAAAACATTTCAAATTACATATAAATGTTAGTCACAACTGCATAGCTTACATTACGAAATCTAAAAAGACGTAATTATGTATACCTACTAAAAATTTTCATTTTGTAGATACGACCTCTTTTCTTAGGGCAGAAAGATCCACGCCCCAAGTGTACTATGTTAATGCTACATGATTATTATTTTTTTTTCAGATTGATCTCTTTATGGATAACATCAAATCAATAGAATCGAAAGTAAATTTAGTAAAATACCCCAAACCTCTCTATGAAGACTATTCGGCGCCCCAAAAGAATCCAATTGGAATGGCTCTAACGCAGTTTCACATATTGCTCGCTTACTCTGACTCAATTAAAGGAGTATGTCTGCTCAATCAGGAGGTAGTGTATGAGGATAATTATAACGAAGCATTTGGAAGGCTTGTGAATCTAGTTAAAGACGTAAGAACCGGTGAAATGTGGGCTGTAACGGAAAATTCTGTATTCAGATTTAAAGTTACGAGAGAGGAAAGAAATATATGGCAAATATTTTGCAACAACGGTGAATTTGAGCTTGCAAAAAAATACTCACGGAACAATATAGCTTGTTACAATCACGTATTAATCAAAGAAGCTGATAAATTATTTATTGAGAAAAAATATGATCTTAGTGCTCAAAGATATGCCGAAACAGAATGTAGCTTAGAGGAAATATGCCTGAAATTCATAGAAGCAAAACAACAAGATGCCCTAAAACTGTTTTTACGTTATAAATTGGACACGTTAAAGCCACAAGATAAAACTCAAATTACCATGATAGTAATGTGGGTGTTGGAGTTGTATTTGGTAAAATTGGAGGAACAGAGATTGCAAGGGTTCGAACAAACTGCTGGTTATGCAGATTTGCAAAAGGAGTTCGATATATTTTTGGCTTTGGAGGAAGTCTCCAATTGCATCAAAAATAATAAAAGTACTGTGTACAATTTGATGAGCAGTCACGGCGACAAGAACAATTTTTTGAAGCTAACAATTGTCAACAAAGATTTTGAACAGGTAAGATAATATATCAAATTAAAAGTGCCCTATTATAGAAAAATTCCAATGTTGTAGGACTTTTAATTGTTTAATCACAAACTATTACATTAAAATTATGATTGAGTATATTATATTATTATTATATCGAAATTCGTTAATAATGGGCATTAGAAAAGTGTTGTAACCTGACAAACCGGGTCCTAACCTAGTTTTACAAATATTTACAACCTTGGCCTAAAATACGTCTAGCAGATACCCATGAAGTGATTTTTGTAGGACCCCAAAATTTCGTTTAGAGTTCAATGTAGCTGTACTGTAATGGAGGAACAAAAAAAGTAAACACAAAAATAGATTAAGAATAGTTTTATTTAAACTTATTTCTTATAGCGGGAAGTTGACAATAATGTTTGTTTAGTTTAACATAACACATGTGGCTTTTTCCATGTCTCATTTCTAACCGAAGGAATATTAAGCTCCCATAAACCGGTGAAAGTATGATGACAGTACTACAGCATATTTGTTATCCCTTTATAATGCACAATCATACACACTGCTAATATAATACCTGCATACGTATTGTCTGATATAGTGAACTTCAGCGGTATCACGAAGAGTATGGCGCGATATGAATATGGATATAATTATGTAAATAAGAAGTTTAACCTCACCTGGCGTAACACCTTTCCACTGACATCTCAATACCGTATTTTACGATTGTGCTCAGTACTGCATATATAACAATAACCTGTACGATAACAGAACATCTAATATAAAGGGGGATGCCCGTTAGGCCCACTTTTGAGGTATCTTTTCTTAAGATCCATCCTAGCCTCTATCAGGCTTTGATGTCCACAGATGTGAGAAAAACCATTTTTTAGGCCCTACTATTGAGGTTCTACTATGGGTGGCTGAAGGCTCTTTTTCGGCGCAAGGCTCTTTTGCTCTAATTACCGACAAATCAATGCTATAAATGCCATCTCCGAAACCACAAGCTGTAGTCCCACCACAATCTCACCTCATTTTACCAAAAGGATAACAATTATACTGGAGTTCTATAACCTATGTGATAACGTGATGCCCATATGAGCCTAATATGTCCGTTTACCTAAACATAATACCTAAAATTATATTGTTATCCGCCTCTGTACATATTCAATCTTAAAAAGAACCCAAAAAGTAAATTCTCAACGTTTAGAAGTAAGACATGACTTTACCCATTTTGGCATCATACAGAATGAAAGAAGACATTATTACCGTAATTTACTTAACAATAGGACTCGACAAATAAATGAAATACAATATAAACATCTGTCTACCATCTAAATGAACGCAAAAGATGACAATTTATAGCCACAAAAGCAGGTTATTGGTTTCTCAAACCCTAAAATAATAAAGGGCTTTGACACTTGATTCTTATGATCATAAACCAGAAGGGCTTAGTTTATTAGTTGTTGTGGCTGGATTTACAATAATTGATTTTTATTACCGTAATTCTAATTATTAATTATTGCCTTACGAAATAAAATGAAATGCCCTGACAATGAAATGAAAAAACTACCCACATAACTTAACAATTACAATTTACTAAATTTTACCCAAATAAGAATTGTTCCCCTTTTAAACACATAATTAATTACAAAATGATACCTATAATAAAACCATGCTGCAATAACTGCTCTCCCCCGGCTGTATACATGACTACTATACAAAGGACACTAGGTAGGAATGTGCGTCGAAAACGCTGATCTTGAAATGCGTTCTAGAACGGCGTTTCCGCGATTCAAACCGATAATCGTAGCGTCTAAAAGAAGATACAATTATCGCTAAAATCTACGTACGGGGATCCACACAACAAAGAAAAAGATATCGTCGACAAAAGTAGAACGACAATCGCAATACTTTTAGTCGTTCTCCAAGAGTTTTATATGATTGGAACAGAGGTACTAAAAAACTCGCTATTTCTTTATCCGGCGTCGTCACCATAGGCAACGGTTCACCAAGACAAGTCACGCAATCCAATAACTCGGAAATACAATCCTACAAAACCCTTAGAAGAGAGAAAAATTAAGCTCTTTTAAAACGTCCGTCTGTTTGGTCACCTGATAGGTAACACATAACTACCTCTCGATATACAAATATATAACGAAAGAAGTCACCTTAAAAGTAACGGTGTATAGCGCAACAGAAGTCGTTTAATACAGAAAATAATTTATCTGCTCCCTCGATATCTTTTACTGCGTTTTCCAAATATAACAAAAAAAGCTGTCACCTTATAGTTAAATGAGATAAACCAATCAATATACTTGAAGAGTATATAGAAGGGAGTCACCTTAAAGATAACTGAATCTTACACTTTTTTTGTCAACTGGACGTGAGAACGGCAGGAAGAATTCTAACCCCGTTCTTACTTTTGAACCGCGTATTTATACTTTAATTTTCCCATTTCGTCAATGCATAAGACAAAGAAAGATTGAGTAACGGGCCTATTCAACTTTCACGTAACATAATACCCAGAAAAACAGCCCAAACAATATACGGCTTGTGGGCCCCCTGAGTTCGAGTTTGCCTTTCAACAATTTACACCCGATGAACAAAAAACGTGCAAAATAGAAAGCGATTGATAGTTCCTCGAAAAACGCAACAAACTATTTAAAGAAAAGAATAAAAAAATATCAGACCCAGGGGCGTCGCGTTTCAGTGTCAGGAATGTGTAATGGAGTTGCCACATATTGAACGAACAATTCCTTTCATTTTACAAATTATACATCTAAATAAAATACATTATTGTTGTTTAACACTAATATATCACACTTAAGATCATTTATATCTCGGAGGTAAATTACAATACTTATATTTTAGGTACTTTATTTTTTGAAGGGTTTTCACTATGAAACAATAATATATACTTTTTATATAAACTAAAATTTCCTTGGTTTATTCGGTCATGTTTTAATTTTTTATCATTTAAGCACAAACACTACATGTGTTTCGGAAAAAAATTTTTCCCATCTTCTGGTGCAGTCAAAATTTAATAAAACACCTTCACACGCTGTGAAATAGAAAGATGGGGTTTCTGTTGTTATAAAAATTTTAAACTGTAATCATCCCCCATATTTTAATAAATTTTGACTGTACCAAATGATAGAAAGTTAAAACATGACCGAATAAACCAAGTAAATTTTCCGGCATATTTTGTCATGCAATAAAACTGGTACGTTTGAGATATGCTCCATATAAAAAATACATGGTCGCTAATATTATTTAATTTGAAGCGTCACGGTTAGTTGTGTGTTTTGTTCAGGAGCGTTGGTGGGAAAGGGATAAAGGTAATTCCCAGTAAATAGTTTTATTTATTATTTGTGTTCTGTATATTTTTAAATGTCCCTTAAAATGAATCAGGAGTTACCCAGTTGTAGCAACACTTCTACAAAACGGCATAATTTTTCCAAAGCGGAATGTATCTTAAACAACGTGTATACGGTGATATTGGTGAACATTTTCCAGATTACACTGCAGATGAAATGGTGGGATTCCCAGAGGGCTTTAAATAATGGATTATAATTTCATTTCATTTAAAATATTAAATCCATTAATAATCATAAACCCCTAACTTATTAACATCTTTAAATTGTAATTAATTCACTTTTCAATTTCTAAATTTCATAATTGTTAAATTCACTAGGTAACTAATCAGGAGGACCCGCTATTGGTTTTGGAGTCTGACCCTAACCTGGACTACACTTATTCCTATTCACCGTGGTTACTCGGTTATAGAATAGGTAACCCAGCACACAGCTGTGTCGTAAAAGGCGAAAAACGTGTCTTTGTACTATCTTTGTTACTGCCTAGTATGGATCTAGGTAGTAATTTGTCTTTTCTATTCCCCTTTCACTTTTCGGCAAAATTCTCTCTCTATTCTTATCTTTTTTCTAATTTACCCTTCACTCTTCGACTAATAGCCATGTATGGATCATGGTCTAGTCACTTCTATCACCTTCAAGTTCTCTGGCCTAGTATGGATCTAGAGTCATTGCCCTTCCTCTACTCTAAAAATTCGAATCTACAATAGTTCCCCCAAACCATTATAATAAGTCTCTCTGGACCGCTGTGTGGATCATGTCCTGCAGAAACTTATTATACCCTTTCCAACTTTTCAACCATTGTATCATTTTTGAATAAGTATAGATCACATGGATCGGTTAACTCCAGAACCAATGTCGAACACGCCCTCCTTACTCCTATGTCATGTGTCAGTCTGTCTATGTGTCATTCGTCCACTGTCTAATAGGTACGATGTACCGTTAAAATTTAAAACTTTTTAACTGATAATTTATTTGTAAAATACGAAATATAAGGGTGTTTTTTGCTAATTTTCAAAACCCCTTTTTCAAAAATGTATTCAATGTTTTAACCCATGTATTTTTATTCAATTTTAACTCTGGATAGGTATCTATTGACGTAAGGTAATTCTTTCACCCTTGTTATGTTATGTTGATAATGGGGTGTTAATACACTGCGACCTAAAAGATCTATTGTGCCCCCTTCTGTCGCCACTGCACTAAGGAAATGTCTCAATGCCTATAGCGACCCTTCCAATCCTATTTTCTCAAGGAAGTGTAGGATTTGAAGTGGCTTCAAGTTAGGTAAGTCTCCCTCTTCTATTTGATATCCTCCTAGATATAGTGCCCTTGGATTCTGGAGTGCTACACATTCAGTTAGGATGTGAATGGAGGTTTCGTCCTCCTCCTCACAGAATCTGCACTCACTATCCTCTACTACTCTCAGTTTACTTAGGTGTCCTTTTAGTCGGCAGTGCCCGGTAAGGATCCCTGTTACAATACGTAGCCTGTTCTTGCTCAGGCAGATGCAGGCTTCCGATCTTTTTTGGTTATATTCACCCAGAAGTATCTTGGCCTGTCTCAGCCCCAAGAGATTGTTCCAATTATCGGTTCTTCTACTACCCAATTCTTTTTTAATCTCTTCTAATATTATGTTACAGCTGATACCGCAGAACGGCT